GGTGGGGGGGGGCGCTGGGGGGGCTGCAGTGAATTCTCTGCTCCTGCTTGGCCTGACACCAAAGCAGCTGCTAGGGGAGGGAGGTGGAGGGTGGGGGCCTGGCGCCGGCCTGGGGGCCCCCCATGCTCAGATCACACTCATTGGCTTTGCCCTTCCACAGGCTTGGGAGCAGGGTGTACACACCACCACCCCCTCAGCCTGGTTGGAGGGTTGGCAAGGGGTCCCCAGGACCAAGCAGCCAGGAGCATGCCAGTTAGCAGGGGAAAGGGAGCCTGAGGCACAGAGGGGGGCTGGGGCCAAAATGCCTGTCCCCAGAAGTCCTTCACCGGCCACCCCCTGGCCTTGGACCTGGAGGGCCCTGGGCCCCGGCCCCTGACCCGACTGCCCGTAGGGCCAGCCTGTACCCCAGGCCCCTGGCCTCTGTGCCTGTTTCCCCTCTCCCCAGGACCCCTCTAGGTCCACGGAGTCTGAGCTGGGTGGGGGGTGGTGGTGATGGTGTCTCAGAACCTGACCTGGTAGGGCTGGGGGGAGGAAAAAGGTGGTTAGAGGTTATGGGGAAGAGGGAGCAGATGAGGAAGGGTCTGCCTGGGGTGCCTTTGATAGCAAGGACCCCTGCCCAGCACCACGATCCCAGCTCCTCTCCACCCCCAGCCCTCGAAGGAAAAAGAATCCAGGGCTGCGTCTCCACACGGGCCTGTAAGAAGAGCGAGCAGAGGGGTGCTCTCAAACGTGGGGAGGGGGTGACAGGGGAGGAGAGCAGCTCAGAGGGACCGCCCCCCCACGGGGATGCTCCACAGACCGTAATTTCGAGGCCCCAGGTTTTCTGAAATGCTACCCCATTGAGCCCAGACCCAGGGCCAGCGTCGGCTCTGCCAATTTCCCAAGCCTTTCTGGGGAGGCCACAGGCTCCCCAGCACGCCGCCTACCCACAGCCCGTTCCTCCGCTTCTCTGCCGAAGCTCCAGCGGCTAAGAAATGACGGTCCTCGTGGAGGTCCCCAGGCCCACCCATGCGCGCCCCCTGTCCCACCCCCTCGGGGTTTCTCCCTTCCTCGATCCACAACAGCCCAGAAGAAACCCTGACTGCAGCTTGGCAAGTATGAAGAGACAGCACGCACCCCTCAAGGCCCACCCCCACCCTCGGCCTCCCCCACGGCCAGGCTGCCCCCACCCCCACAGGTCTGGGAAGAGCTGGATACCCCTCCCGGGGCCCCCTCCCAGGACGGGACCCCCCAGCTGGTGTGAGTGGGCTGGGCTTGTGTTCCACACTACGAGCAGCTCTGGGTCTTGGAAACGCCAAACGGGAAGGAACCTTAGGAGCCACTAGAAGTCCGCTCCCCCAAAGGAAAACAAGTGTCCTCTCCACCCAGAAAGACACAAGACGGGGAGGGGGCAGAAAGGGGAGTAGGAGGAGGAGGAGCGGGCTCCCCTATAGTCCCGGCCTGGAGCCGAGAGGGGGTCCCTCCCCGCCCCCCTGGTGCTTACAGGTCTCCTGAAGGAGGTAAATGCAGTGAGCGAGAGCCAGGTCCCGGCAGCCAGGGCCGGGAAGCAGGCAGAGGGAGAGGCAGTGAGAGAGAGAGAGACAGAGAGACAGAGACAGAGAGAGTCCTGCCCGAGCTCAGAGAGGCACCTCCTCGGGCGTCCCAGGGCTGGCCCTGCTGGGAGGACGCCCGGCGTGGGGTCGCCCACCAGCCAGGCGGGGCGGGGCGGGGTTCACATTAAGTAGGGGCACAGGTAGAACAAAGTGTGAGTGAGGGGTTAGCATTGGTAACGGTGCTTTTACCTTTCTGCTCCACTTCTACTTTAAGCATCGGAAGAGAGAGAGAAAACAAAGTGAAAAAAAATGTGCAAGAAAAAAAAAAAAGAGAAAAAAAAGATTAAATTGCTTTTGTTCCTTTCTCGGCAACACGCCCCTTTCCTGTCCTTCCTCCGTCCTGCTTCCCCGCCCCCGTCCCCTCCTCGGAGTCAGGTGGGCAGGCGGTGTTGGGGAGACGTCACAGAGGGGAGACACGGGAAGAAGGAGAGGCATGGGGGTGGGGGGCAGGGACAGGGCAGGTGGGCAGACAGCCCTCAGGTGGGAGGGGGAACCTTCTGCACAGAGAGAGGGTGGAGGGGTGGGGGAACCCCCAGCTGGGAGATGGGCCGCTCCAAGGCCTTCCCACCTGGCCAGACCCTCCTGCTGAGGCGGGCTGGGGTGCCCAGAGGGCAGGCTGAGCCCCTTGCCCTCCAGCTGGCTGTCTCCTTGTCCGGCCGAGTCCCCCAGCCCTGACCACTTGGAGGGTGCACATGGAAGGTGGCAGAGGTAGACACAGTGGGGGGAGGGGGCACGAGCACCTGGCCTTCGAGCGAGCCAGGGCGGGGAGACAGAGGCCAGGAGGTGAGAGGCAAGGGAGGACACAGACGGGGCTGGACAGCACGCAGTGGGCACAGACACCGCGGCACAGGCAGCCTGGAGCTGGGGTTCTCCCCCAGCTCCCACAACCCCGGACCCAGGAGCTGGGAGCTCTGCGCCTGCCCGCACCTGGGGGAGGAAGGGGCACGTTAGGCTGTGCTCAGCTGCAAGGCAAATTGTGTTAGTCCGGCTAGTCCAGGCGCAGGGGGGCGCCGACACCCACTTCCCTCTCCCCGCGACATCCCTACCACCCATCCCTGATCCGCCCTCACCAGCACTGGGGTCACCCTCAGGGGAGGGGGCCCAGTCTCTGAAGCCTGGGGCCAGAGGGCTGCCAGCCACGCACAAGGTTCTGCTTGTCCGGCCCTGCCTCTCTCTCGGGGTGGCATCTCTCAGAAGGCCTGAGTCTCAGCAGGGTGTTTTGGGGGTGGTGGCGGGGCCCCAGCAGCTCCTCCAGGCCTGGCACACAGGAGGTGCTCAGCGAGTGAGCTTTGTGTGCCCGCTGTCCTGTCTCCTGAAGCACTCAGGCCAGCGCTCTCCCATCAGACCGGGCGCTTCCCCTTTCCTGAGCTATCCTGTGCTCCATCCAGGTCATCTTGGGCTCTGGGCCTCAGGCCTGCTCCTCTCCCTCCCTCCTTCCCAAGCGCTCCAGCTTCGTCCTGCCTCTCCCTGCAGGGATAG